TCCAGGTTTTATTTCTTGGTTCTGCTCCACTGTCGTGGGCGCCAGCACTTTCTGGATGAACCTATCAAATCGCAACTTTCCTATCACTTGTTAAACGTTTAATAAAATATTAAAGGCCACTGACTTTTTAAAAAGAATTTGACTTCAGACTGTTACAATTAAAACAACTGATTTAGACTTTCGACTGATGACTTTGGCGATGACGAAGCCAAGCGGACCAGGGCCAGCCTCGGGCAGCCTACGGAACGAGGCCGCCCGCGTTGCCCACCCCGTGTGTACTCGCTGGGGCTGTGCCCGTCCTGGAGGCAAACCTTGGAGCGAAGCCCCCGCCCCGTGCCACGCGGTAGGCCGGGTCNCTCTAGCCCGGTGTGGCGATGACGAAGCCAAGCGGACCAGGGCCAGCCTCGGGCAGCCTACGGAACGAGGCCGCCCGCGTTGCCCACCCCGTGTGTACTCGCTGGGGCTGTGCCCGTCCTGGAGGCAAACCTTGGAGCGAAGCCCCCGCCCCGTGCCACGCGGTAGGCCGGGTCTATGCAATGGNGACTTTGGCGATGACGAAGCCAAGCGGACCAGGGCCAGCCTCGGGCAGCCTACGGAACGAGGCCGCCCGCGTTGCCCACCCCGTGTGTACTCGCTGGGGCTGTGCCCGTCCTGGAGGCAAACCTTGGAGCGAAGCCCCCGCCCCGTGCCACGCGGTAGGCCGGGTCTATGCAATGGAAATACCCAGGGGTGGGCAGAAGTGGCAGCTGCGCTGGGACACGGAGCTCACGAAGCCCTCGTCATGATCACAGCCTGCATGTCTTTCTCCACACAAACCACCGCTAACCTACTTTGCCCACCCCTGTGTTGCCGGACACGGACACGGACGCTGTTTTAAATTTTCTAGTGGCCACATTTTAACAAGTTAAACAGGTGAAATTAATTTCAATATTTTATTGAGCATTGCAGATCCACATTATCATCACAAGATATAATCAGTATAAAGATTAACACACTATTTTACATTATTTTTTGGACTAATTTTAAAAATCTGGTGTGTATTTTACACTTAGAGCATACCTCGCATTTCACGGCTCTTTGGCACATGGGACTGAGGCCTCTGCCCAGGACAGTGCCGGCGGGAAGGTGGTTGTTGCTCACACATTCTAAGAGGCAAATGGGGGGACTGGGCCCTGGCCTGGGGCTCAGGAGTCAGGGGCTGGGAGGTGGGGAGGTGAAGAGAGAGGAAGCTGATGGCGGCAGGAGGAAAGGGCCATCAAGTAGACTCACCTGGGAGACAGGCGGGAGGTGTGGCTGAAGGTGCCCCTGTGCCATCGGGCCCGGGGCTGGGAGGGTGCCCGGGAGATGCAGACTGTGGAGGCAGCAGATTGGAAGACACACAGTCTCCACGGACTCTGTGACTCAGCCCGGTCCCAGAAGATGGGTCAAGATAGAAGCGAGCCACCGTCACGTAACTGGCACCTGGCCCCAGCCCAGCGTCTCCTGACCCTCAGACCAGTATTTTTTGTGCATGGCACTGTCTTGAGGCCAAGTCTGGTTGAAGCCCCGTTGCTGGTCTTATGTTAGATTGGAGCCAACCATCGGTGATCAAATGGCACAAGGGGGGTTAGAAATGCGGCAGACACCCAGGTGGGAGCTGCCAGGGAGCCAGGGCCAGGGAGCGCCAGGGACAAAGACACACGGAGGGAGGCTTCGTATTGGAGTATTTCTATCTAAAATCCTTTACTCACCTCAGCTTCTAGAAACAGAGAGGGGGCAGACATACAGAGACAAAAAGGAAACATATTAGCACACACGGAGAGGGATACAGTGTCCAGTATTGAGTTGTTAATACACTTTATTTCATTTCATAAGATCATGCGCCAAATTAGACCAACGTACCAAACACCGAAAACAGAGGATGTAATTGCTAGTGTATCACAGAGCCCACGTACGGGCACGTGGACCAAGGATTTGAGTCAACTGACAAGGCAAGGCACCGGCCTGGCGGGGCCTCAGGTAGCGCAGCCACCCAGCGGGAGGCGGGGTTCCTGGGCGAGGCGCCCTTGCCACCTTCAGGCACAGAAAGGTCAGGACACGGGCGGTGACACCGCTGAGCACCGAGTGCTTGGAAAGGGGCGGGCGCCAGGGCCAGGGGGGCGGGCGCCGGGAGGAGCAGGGCGAGCGGGGTGGGCTCCGGGCCCGCCCGCCTGCCCACTGCAGCCTCAGGCATGTCGGGGGCACAGCCCAACCACTAAAGAACTCTCAAGCCATTCGCAGCTGCCACATGTCTTATAAAAGATACAGGTGAGTTTACAGAACCAAACTAATACACTGCTTCACAAGTTTGAGTGTTTTCTTGTCTTTTTCCCAACTTGCTCAATACTTTAAAAAAGTATAGAATGCAGGGCCAGCCAGAATGCCTGTTTCGTGTGATAGAAGACTGTTGGGGAATTCTGGGGTCATAAAACATTAAAGAGCACAGACATGAGAGACAGTGAAAGATTTTATTTTTTCTTTTACTTTCACCCAAACACACCCTTCTCTGAAGAACACAAAAGCATGCACATCGGTGGTGCTCTTACAAAGAAAAACTGAGTAACAACTGAGCTGTAAAAACAACACAAACAAAAGCTAAATGATATTATGTGAAAAGGTTTACAAGTAGAGGTGGGACTCTTAATTTTAGAAAATAACAATTCAAGTCATCAACACACATTAAAAAGAAGCTTCTAATTTTCCAAATATTCCGATACAAATTTTTTAACCAAATATTTATAGACCCTTTGTGAGAAGCATATAAGTAGAGTCATAAAAAACATGATTTTTCAAGGGATCTTAAGCAGTTCACTTTGCCTTCTTAAAATCAGTTACGATCAGTAGAATTCTAATGGTATTGCTTCTTAAAATTTAAACTTAGAGCATAACCATTATATTCAAAGTAAGTTATACAACTTACAGTTATTTTGCTCTAACTAGAAACAGGGTCTAACTTTAGGACTTTAGAAAAACCATGTAACAAAAACATGTTATTGATCTAAATTTCACTTTACAGATGAGAGAAAACTGCAGTTTGGTATGAGAGCACTTTTCAAAAGTTTTACTGACCAACCCTCCCCCCTCCCCCATCCATGACCAGGCCAGTGGTTTCCGTGGGACTGTGTGCATGTGCATGTGTGTCCGTGAATGTGCATCTATGAGTGTGTGTACATGAATGTGTGTCTGTGTGTGTACATGAATGTGTATCTATGAATGTGTGTCCGTGAATGTGTTTCTATCAGTGTGTCTATGAGTGTGTGTACATGAATGTGTGTGTACATGAATGTGTCTATGAATGTGTCCGTGAATGTACGTCTGTGAATATGTGTCTATAAGTGTGTACATGAATGTGTGTCTGTATGAGTGTGTACATGAATGTGTGTACATGAATGTGTGAGTGTATATGAGTGTGTACATGAATGTGTGTCTGAGTGTGTGGACATGAATGTGTCTATGAGTGTGTACATGAATGTGTGTCTGAGTGTGGACATGAATGTGTGTCTGTGTGGACATGAATGTGTGTCTGAGTGTGGACATGAATGTGTGTCTGAGTGTGTGTACACATACACGCTGACAGACTGATTCTTCCTGCCCAGCTCTTCAGCGGTGCTGCTGCTCTAACTGGCTCGCTCTCTGGCTCGAGACCCAGTTACCCAGAGGCTCCCTTAGTCACTGACTTTGGTCTGTCCGTCACGGGTCAGCTGGTGTGCGTCAGCTGGAGCAGTGACGCAATTCAGGACAAAGCCCACCAGCAGGCACAGGGCTGTTACCGTAAAGGACTGGCAGGCAATCAAGTCTAACCAGTAACACAGAAATGGAGCAGATCACACTGCAGAAAAGTCTCCACAGGACACACTGACATTTGTGGGATTTGGTACCTGAGACGCAGCCCTTGTGGTACAGGTGAACTGCGCACCCCCGTTACACGCATGGGGGTACCCGAATCCGCATGGACCCGGTGGGTCACATCTGGATTTCGCGGCTCGAGGAGAGTGAATTTCCTGGCATGAGACAGACGCACAGTCTTGCGCAGCCAGTGAGCTCCCCCACCAGGGCTGTAGTAGTTCCCCAGCGGACAGACACCACGCCACACCCCTCTCCTGCGAGCCCACCGTGCAAGCCCTGGAGCACCCCATGGCCGCCACAGAGACGGGCACGGTGAAGATCAACCATGTGATATAAAAATGATCTCGGGAGTAAACATTTTGCTAAACCCCAGAGTGACAGGAGAAAGGCACACGCTAGTGAATCCGCAGACATCTGAAGGCTCCCATCACCTCAATGTCGGGGGACCCAGGTCCAGCAAAGGTACACAAAGATCACTTTTATATAAAAAAGTAAAAGGAAACCTAAGGTTTTCGGGTGCGTATGGCACAGAGGGTGCGAGGTTCGGGGAGCTCAGCTTTACCCTCAGAGGGCTGGGCAGTGTCAGGTCTCGCACAAGACCCCCCGGCCACAGTTTCAACTCACTGAATTCTCCCACTTTACACATTAGTCTTCCGTACAGAGTACGGGGTGTGCAAATTAAGCTGTTTCAATAAATATTAGAAACGTGGATCATTTTGCAAATAGAGTGAAGTCAGCTCAGACAGCAGGTGCTCACCAGAGCGGATCCCCCCCAGGGGGGCCTGGCCCTTCCTTTCTCTCCCCTCGATACTTAAATACACTTTCTCTCACCGACCTGGAGAAATTGCGCAAGAAGAAAACATTCCATAGCTGCAAGACACTCAATACTTTAGTGGTAAGAGCCGGGAGCAGCGAGGTTGTCAAAAATAGAAAATAAGGAACAGTGAAATGTGCGAGCACAGGCCCTGAACGGCAGACAGCGACAAGCCCCGCAGCACTAACGCGCCCCAGGCCCCCGGCTCACAGGCAGGCCGGGCAGCGCCCCCTCGGGGGCTCGGGCACTGACGTGAGACGGGGTGAGTGTGCCCAGGCCGCCTGCAGGCCAGCTTTAGTCAGAAATTCTATTTTATCCGAAGTTCAATCAACAAGGCTTTATTTACACTTCTCGTTAATTCGGGAGGCAATCTGGCGGAACGGGCGCCATCGCCATCCGCGAGCACAGCCCGCTGCCCGGAGCGCCTCAGGCCTTAATGCTGACCCACAGGCAGCCAGCCACGGTGCCGTAGACCCAGGTCTTCAGGTAGAGCCTCCGGCCGGCCTCGGTCACCAGCAGGCCGGCGGTCAGGGCGCTCAGGATCAGCAGCGACGGCAGCGTCTTCTTGAGGCTGAGTTTAGAATTAACACTGTTCCCAGGAAACCGGCTTCTCCGGCCCGGGTCCAGGGAGTCGTAGAATTCTATGAGCAGCCTGCGGCCAGACGGAGAAAGTTCTGCGTTTCAGTTTTAGTCGTTTCAGTGCTTTAATCCAACGAATACCTGTTGGGCACCTGTTATGTGCTGGAAGTTACAGGTCCCTGGGAAATAAAGATGAACATGGGGCCACCCAGGGGGCTGGTTTAACTGCAGTGTCTAGACTTTTAAAGTACCTTTCATGTGCCCGATGAGCAGTGTATATAAACTGCACTATACGCCATGGTTCCAAGTCATTTTATGGGGATGATTTTGTTTTATAAACTTCAGGTCTTTAAAGCCTTCCAGGCCCTGACTCGCACGGGGTGATGAGCCCTCTGGCCTTCTCTCTGCCTTCCTGCCTTCACCCCCCCCCGCAGCCCCCACTCCCCCAAAGTCACAGGGCAGAGCAGCAGTGCTCACAACACACATGGCGCCTCCTGTTCCAGGGAGTTACGAAACTGGCCCAAAGGGAAAACGGTAAACGTACTGTTCAGGCTTTCTTCCTGAGAACAGATTTTCATGTCAAAACACACAGATCTTACTTTTTAAACGTCTCCCTTGACAGTGTGTGGCACTGAATGGTGGTTTAATAATTCACGTTGTGTACAACTGAGAGTCAGTGAAATACAGACATTTGGCTACTGGTTTCTGAACGTACTGAGTTTTGCACACTGGGTTTAGCACACTTCAGTCACTCTGTTGGTAGCCAGCCCAGGAGCACTAACTGGGAGACATTTTACTGTAAAGCAGCAAGGAAAGGAGGCAGAGGAGCAGGCTCCCGAGAAGGGGCCTCTCAGGAAAATAAAACACTTGGGTAGAAATTCTGAACATAAACATAATTTTGAAAGGATTTTTAAAGTCCTGAAAAAAACATACTTTTCAATGTGGCCTTTATATATATGTGTGTGTGTGTGTATATATATATATACACACACACATATATATATATTTTAAATATATCTTTGTTGATTTCAGAGAGAGGAAAGGAGAGGGAGAGAGAGAGATAGAAACATCAATGATGAGACAGTCATTGATCGAGCCCGCGACCCGGGCATGTGCCCTGACCGGGAACCGAACCCTGATCGCCTGCATCCTAGGTCGATGCTCAACCGCTGAGCCACGCCCGGTCGGGCGTCAATGTGGCCTTTATAAATGGCACATCCTATAACTAATGGAAGGTCCATCTTTTCAAAAAGAAGATAAAAGTGTAGATGTTTAAAATATATTTTCAAAAAGCAAGACACATGTCAGGAAGGACCAAACCGCCCCCGAGAGCAGAGTGAGCAGCAAACACAACACGTCTTGAAGTTTTACCAAGAAAATCAGCTTCCAAAAGTCACATCGAAACCCGAGACCCACTTCCTAGCTGCCTAAAAAGAAAACTGTGAATTCCTACCTTTAGAATGTGTGTGAATCAGATACTAATGTCCTCTCCTGTCACCTGCGGCTTCAAGACCTGTCTTTAATCAGCGGCCCGCGCTCCCTGGCCGACCTCTAGGCCAGGCTCACCCCAGAGGTGCCCAAACACACCTGCGCCTCCTCACAGGGCCTCCCGCCACGCTCCACACTCCAGTCTGCTCCACGTCAACCGCATGGCCAAACACAAGGCCGATCCCAGAAACTGTTCAGGCCCCAAAATACGAACACCAGAAAGACACGTGGGCCGGGAGAATGCCACCTGCCCCTCCCTCCTTTCCACAGAATGCCCACGTCGTCTCCACGTGCTTCAGACACAGCCTGTCCCCAGGCCTCCTCCCTCGCCGCGGGCGGGACAGCTGGCTCCCCAACAATCCCGCCGCGCCCTCGAGCTGGACGGCAGATCTGGGGCCTCTCACGGGGCCGTGTCCTTTTCTACTAAAAGCTACATCTCACCACAGAGCACTGCTCTGGAAAGTCTGTAATGAAGACGGGCGGCCGCCATGACAAGTCCTCTTAGAGAGACGCGGAGCAGTAAAGGTTAAAACAGGAGCGGGTACCCGTGGGGCAGGACCGGACTCGGCTTCATGAAAACCACTCTCAAGATAATGGAGCCCCACCCGTTTCGGATGCTCAGGGCACTGGAAGCCCGCGTTCGTAGAGCTGACCTGCTGTTACTCACTTATCTTTGATCTCAAAACGCTCGTGAAGCCACCTCCTCATGCACCCTCTTTCCTCCGGGACATCTTCTTTATTTATGCGAGCAAAGTGGATGTGGATTTTTGGACATTCTTTGCAGAGAAATTCTAATAAAAAACAAAAATATTTCGTTTTTTATTTTAGGATTCATGATTATATAAAATAAACAATGAAAATGAGGCAAAAAAAAGTTTAAAAATAAAGTACAGGTTCCTTAGCAAAAACAAAAAGTTATAGATTATAAGTGGAGTTGGGGTTTCCAGCTGAAGGGGAGAGCATGTTAGTTTCCACGGCAACCGCGGCTGCCTGCACCCTAAGGTGCGCCAAGACCGGTGCTTTCGTGAGACATCCTTTCCTTGTGCGGCCTGGAAGGGAGCTGGACCTGCTACGACGTCCCAGCCTCTGACGGGACCCCCAAAGGCCGGCACCATCAAACCCACCAGTCACCTTCCCGAGACCACTCATCAGTCCCCCATTCCCAAGCATATCACTCGTCACAAGGTCACTGCTGCTCCCACACAGGTGGAGACGGGGTGCGTGTACCTGGTTCACTAGGGCAAAACAAGGGGCACATCTGGGCACTTAATCCCTTTGGTCCCTGGTCCCTGACCTGCACATGAGCCTGCTGTCACTCATGCCTGCTGCAGGGCAGAAAAGGCCTGGGGACAGGTCCCACTCCCTCTCCCGGGAGTGCTGGCTCTGCTCTCCCGATCCGGCTGTAGCCCCTGGGTATGGGAGAGCTCCAGCCCTCACACGACCACAATTCCTAAGTCAATCCGAATCTGAAAGAAGCAGACACTCCCTTTTCAGCTGGGGAGGCCCAGGAACCAGGCCGGCATTCATTCCAAGATAAGAAAGACCTCAGAGCCGGGCCTCCCTTCTGTAGGTGGCTCTCTGGGGAGAGGTGAGGTAGTAACGTATTTAAGTTCCCTGGGGAACAGGGCAACCTTCCTAAGAGCTTTCAGAGGAGACTGTGTTCCCAGGTGGGCAGCAGGAGGAGGCTGAGGCCTTTCATCTCCGGTGGCGACGTGTGCAGAGATGGCTCTGATAAGGGGTGACTCCTCCACAGCTGGGGAGGCTTCCAGCTGACCCTTAAAGAAGGCTCTGACTTCTGACCCCCCCATGCTCAGTCAGCATCTCCGCAGGTGCTGTGCATTTCTGGTGTCCCCCTAGTACCACGCAGCACTTCTCTCATAAAAAATGATCTTATTTTTTATATACTTTTAGGAGTAAAGTGGCCTTGATGATAAACGTGCAAAAATACTACAATAGGGAAGATTTACGTTTCAATATTTTGGACTTAATTTTCCTCAAGTTCTATCTTTCATTTAACTAATCAAAGAACTGCTTAGGAGGCCCTGTTAGAAGCAGGGCTGTGCATGGGCTCAGAGCGCGACGGGGAGTCGGGCGGCCCGGGTTTCGGCCCGCGTGGGCCCTGGGCAGTGTCGGCGTCTCGGTACCTGCGGTGTGTGGGCCGCTGTGAGGAGCTGGGCCTGTTACTGGGATTGTTGCCAATCTGACAGAAAGAGAACGGTGCCTCACTGTCACCTTTAACTGGCGCTTTTCTCATTATGCGTGAGGGTGAACACTTTCCTGTGATCTGCCTGCTCTTAGCCTGTGCCATTTTCCAGAGCTGTGGACACAGGTCACCTTCCTGGACAACCTGCAGGTGTGAGCACCCAACACATCAAGGGCACTTGCCTTCCTCTGCGACCTGAGTCGCAGTATTTTCCCAGCCTGCCCTCAGTCCTCTGGTTTCACTCTGGCGTATTTTTCCTTACAGAAATTATCTTTAATTGATTGAAACGATGTATTTTATTATCTATGTGACTTCGGCGTGTGAGAAGAAAGCCACCTTTTCAAACACAGGCACGGTGTGTAAGGCTTGTAATGAAGACTCTAAGCAAAGCACAGGAGAGCTCGGCAGCGGGGGGCTGGGCTCGGAACCAGGTTTCTCCGGACACTTGTCCTGGCTGCAGAGGGAGCCAGGGCACAGCGTGGGCCTGGAGCGCGGGCCTGGAGCGCTAAGGCAGGAGAAGGCCCAGGGCGCTGGCGCCCAGCTCTGTAGGTCAGACTGTGTGGGAGACGGACTCACCCCCACAGCCTGCAGTGGCCCCCCAAGGCGCTGGAGGTGCGGAGGGGCAGCCCCACCAAGGGCACCAGGCCCCTGGGGGCACCTTTTGGGAGGAGGTGGGTATTTATCCTGCGGACACCGCCCAGCTACCGAGGTCTCACGCCCTCGCAGGCGACAGAAGGAAAGCAGCAGTTCACAAAGGTTACTACGGGAATAATTCTTGGTTTCCATAATCAGCAAAAACACGTTTAATCATACTTTTTAAACAATGTTTGATAAACCAATGACAATGTTGTTGAACTAAATGCAAGTATGCTTTCAAATGTGAGAACAGGTCAGTGACTCCTTCGATGGTTAAAAGGAAGATTCGTTTTTTGTTGCCTTTCTCATAAGAAAGGGCCAGAGAGTCAGATTATACACTTAAATGGGCATCTACTATCCACAAGAAATTAAGGAAAGTGGTTACCTCTGGGAGGGGGTGGGGACAGGTGGACACGGGGACAGGCGCACAGAAAGCCGTTTCACTGCATACTTTCTATAGTTTTCATTTTACAAATGTTTGATGTATAATATATTCCAAAAATCCCATTTAAAATGGAAAAACCTCAGCTTCCCACTTCCCCTGTACTCTGTTGAAGGCAATTGTAAGAGTGACCATAGGGGTAACTGCTCAGATTTTACCGACCCCACAGTGACCAACTTTTACACCCCACAGCCCTGGTGCCTCCACCGTCTCTGGGGACCCCCTGCTGCTCCCAACGCCTTTTGAACAGACACGGTCATCGGCTTTCAGGGGATCCCACCGAAAGAGGACTGACGAGCAGCTGAGGCCACTTCAGACAGTGCCAAGGACAGTGCAGGTCCACGCTGTCCCAGCTCAGCTCCAGTGGACACTGAGAAAGGGACGGCGACCTGAGCTCTGACCCTGCCTCGGCTCCAGTGGACACTCTGAGAGAGGGGTGGTGACCCCCACTGCCTGGCCTGCCTACTCCGCGTATAAATCTCCCTAACAATCAAGCGCACCTTGGGTCTGTTTAGCTAAAATATTCTGCTCACATAAAATTCTATTTTCTTCCTGTTGTAACTGACACACATCGGCAACAGCTCAAGGTCCTGAAGACCCAGCAGCTTGAGGAAAGGGTCACAATAACCGTCCTTCCTCTCATCAGTGACACTAAATTCATAAATGTTAGATGCATATCATGAGGATGAACCAGGGCTACCAGTGCACACCTGGGCATCGCAAGGCTGGCATCCCCCCAGTGAGGCTGGCGTCCCGCCCCACCCCCCACATCCTTCCTCATTTATGGAGCGTCCGCTTTTATAGTGAACTTCTGGCAGAAAGAGGCTGAGTTAATGATCATGGGCAAGTCTGAAGGACTAAGATGGCAACCAAGAAATACCAAGCTTAGCAGGACTGACGACATTAGACCGTCGCAGACGAATAAAACATACTCGAAAAACACATAATACTCAGAAAACGTACCAGGTAAATGCAATGAGGCAGAGCCCTGGGGCTGTTTTAAGAATGAATTACACATTCGTGATACACAGACTTGGTCAGAACACTCACCAACCATGGACGGTGCTTCCTTCCGCTGTCCCTTGTCGTCTACGGTCCCTTCGAAAGCCACCGTGACGTCGTAAACTGCATCCAGGTAACTCTTCATGGAAGTGAAGGCGACGTGGGTGGCCTTCACCCTGGGTGTCAGCACGTGTTTCAACACGGGCAGGCCTGCAAAAGAGGTCGGTCGACTCAGTGTGGCCACAGCTCAGTCACAACCCCTCGGGGGACTGGGCGCTGCTTCCAGACACCTCCAGACAGACAGAGGACACTAGGCCGTCCCCCAGACCTACGGGCCCGAGGGCAGAGAGTCCTCTCTGGTCGCTCCACCTAAATCACAACCAGCCGCACGAGTCGCTGCGGAAAGCCGCTGGAAGACTGGCCTCACGGTCGCGGAGCCCGTGGCCGTGAGCGGCCCTTGGGCCTGGTGACCTGCCCCCAGCACAGCACCGGTGGCAGCCCCTCCGCCTCGGTCACCCGAGACCCGTGACACCGCCTGACAGTTTCTGACTCCAAGCCCCGGACTCCGTCAGTTCCACGTCCAGTCAAGCAGTTACCCGCCTGCCCCCGGGAGCGGGGGCGGGGGGAACACTGGCCCGGCACACCAGGCAGCCTCAGCATCCGATTCTGGCTACGCTTTCTAAACCTGAGACCTGACTCACCACAGCACCCGCCATGTTAAAGCGGACAATCCAGGGGTGGTCAGCACCTCAGAGAGCTGTGCGGCCATCACCAAGGCGAAACCCAGCCCGCTTCCTCAGCCGCCACCCCCGGGGCCCCGGCGACACTGCGCGCCCAGCCCCGCGCCCGCGCCCCTCCTTTCCGTCTCCAGCTCTGTCTGATACGAGCATTTCCCAGAGACGGGACCTGCAGCGTGTGCACTTCCGTGGCTGGCGTCCGTCACGCGCGTAACACCCGT